CAGATGATGCCCCCCGCTGGCATATAATGTTATAAAGGGACATAACTCAAGAACAGTAAAAGTGACACTACCCAAATTTTTACTTGATCTGAGTTTTGTGGTGATAAGCATTGTGTTTCATAACATTTGGTCGAGGCAAACTTAAGTTAGAGAACTGAAACGAAAAATCCAGCAATTTTTCCATTTGTAAAGGGCATAACTCTGAAACGGTACAAGTGACGTCATCAAAATTCGAACTTGATCTGTGTTTTGTAGTAATAAGCATTGTGTATAAGTTTCATAACATTTGGTTGCCGCAAACTAAAGTTAGAGAACGGAAACCAATTTTGGGACGTACGGACGGAGGAACGGACGGACGGACGTACGTACAGACGGACAAGGGTTAAACTTAATGCACCCTTCACTACGGCGGGGGCAAAAAAAAATCTTTCCTTCAAGATATGGTCATAATCTCAATTCAAATTTCCAATGGAGTTTGCAACCATAATTACCCCTTTAAATACATCATAAAAGTCTGAAAATAGAAAATAACATACATAATCATGGCTAAAATTAATATTCCTTAATCAGCATTTTTAATAGTCACTTCTAAAAATGAATTGATAGCTAATCACCTCAGGACAATACAACATTTCTTTATACATAATTTAAAAGCAGTGTAAGGGAGGTAATCCAAACATAACATTGTACTTTGAAGTAATTGTCCATTAACCAGGAAACCCTTGTTTTCCCCCCTTTTTTGCCCCTTATTCTTAAACGTTTTGAGCCATAACCCCCCCCCCCCCCCCCCCCCCCCCCCCCCCCAAAGCCAATCCTAACCATCTCTTTGTGGTACGGAAATTTGTGGTCTAATTTCAGAGAGATGCATACAATGTTAAAAGTTTATAATTGATCTTGGTTGAGTATTTAATATATGGAAAACAATGAATAAATGTAACACGCATTACAAAAAAATATAATTCTATTGGAAATAAAGTGGTAAATTGTTTTTTTTAAATAAATATAAATATGGGTTGCTGTCTTTTTACCTGAATCCAACTCTCATTTTATTCATACTAATAATACAAAGCGTTACATGCAATTGTCCTCATCAATAAAACTGACTGATGTGAATTGTAGGAATTAATCTTTATGGGAACCTTCATTGTATAGCAGGTGGAAAATTCCGTACATTCAAACAAAATTCAAAGTGATAAAAAACCTCTGTGATTACGGACATTATGAACCTGTACATGTACAGTGATTTTAAACGTGTAGAAAGACATGCTCATTTAATTTTTGCAACAAATGATGTAAATATTTTCAATGTTCAATTTTTGAATACAGCTGTCACTACTTACATTGATTAATCAGCATGCGTTCATGTATACATTTACTTCCTCATAACAATATTGTATTTCAACGCTTCAACATTTTGAGTGTCTCTGAGAACAGGTAATGCAATTATATATTCTTTTGAACATTGTTTTTTTTTAATTAGAAAATGTAAAGTGGACATATCCTTTGAACGCACCGATCATTCTTAATATGTCTATGAAAAGGTGGGATGCCTCTTTAAATGAATTATTTGCTTGTCAAACAGTTTATTTTTTATTAAAGTTTAAAGTTATGTGGCCCGAAAATACCCTCCCCCAAAATAGGACAAATAAAAATACCATACCTTATTATGTTTAACTACACTTCTTCATGTATGCTGTTTGATGCCAAAATGTCAAGTAAACTCATGTGATTTCATAATAAATTGCCATACAGATACATCTGACCAGTTCCTGCGTTTTATTGTGTTACTCACAGTCACGTTATTTGCTATAGAATTTCTACCAACGATCTAACTTTATTTAAGGCTAGAAATGTTCCCAACGATCGAAGTGCTCCAAATATTCTAAATCAGAATTTATATATAAGTTTTAAGTCTGATAGTTTGTTGGAAGAAATTTCTTCCCACTTTTTAACAGCTACATGTTTTTCATTTTAGATCTACATGTAGGTCTGATAGAAGACATTTCTCCCAACTTACTAACTGCCACAAATACTTCATTTTAGGTCTATGTTTGATAGAAGAATTTGTTTCAAACGAACTAACTGCTTCAAATATTTCATTGAAGTTTGATAGAAGAAATTTCTTACGACTTACTAACTGCCACAACTATCACATTTGAGGTCAGGTATGATTAAGAAATGTTTCCAACGAACTAACAGCTATATGTGTTTCGTTTTAGATCTAATTGTAGGTTTGATAGAAGAAATTTTGCTTAGATTAAATATTTCATTTAGGTTTAACTCTGATAAAAGAAATTTCTTTCAAAGAGCGATCAGCTCGAAGTAATTCATGTTACGTTTGATATAAGACATTTCTTCAAACGAACTAACTGCCATAAGTATTATATTTTAAGCATAAGTCTGATAAAAGAATTTTCTGTCAATGAATTTGTTCTAAAATGTGTCCCCGGCCCGGATGGGAAAGTGCACCTGAAGCAAACAACATCATACAAAATTTCTTATTTTTCAGCACAGGGGTGATGGCAGGAATTGCTATCGTCCCGTTTCCCTACAGCAAAGTTCTTGACCACGTACATGTGGTTAGATTGAAAGCTATAATCAAATCTTCAATTAAAATGAATACTTAGGTGGGAAAGTGCTCCTGAAGACTTCACTGACCACCTAAAGTCTAAGTTACCTATCAATTACGGGTATGGGCACACTTTTCCGTATTTGTATACATAGTGATCCAAAGTCCTTAAAGGCTTTCATAACCAAACTATTTTACTTATGGACAAAGTTATAGCTATATGCGTAGGAACTATTTTGTTTGAAATATGTACTACTTTCTTGTATGATCTTTTTTGACCGGGCCGATAAGGTAGTTCTATACATTAAGGGTTTTAAGTAAATACTAGATATTTGAGGATGGCGAGCGTGGTGAAAGTCGTTATATGACTTTTCTACCGCAATAGCATCCGTCTTGTTTAGTTTAACTTTTTTTTGTTTGTTTTTTTTTTCTTTCCTTTTTGGCAAGAAATTAATATTTTCGATTTAAATTTGTATAATGCCATGTAATATGAAATCTTCAAATACTGCAATACTAATTTAGATCATTGGCCTTCTGCAAGCACGCTACTCACGTAAGTAGTTAGAAAGACTGAAATCCAAAATCAAACTTAAACAAAATTTACTTTTCCTTTCTAAAGAATGTATGTATATAATATTCCGTCCCCTACACTACAAACCGCTCAGAGTCCGAAAAGACCATATTTTGTGCTCGAGCATAGGTTTACTTGATAAGACTCGACATAATCTCGACAGTACTTAACTGTACTCGACTTTGGTCTCGACTTTACTTAATTAGTCTGATTAAGTAATTGATAATTTTGGTATAGTCTGAATATGGTCTCGACCAGTCTCGACCAGTCTTGACCAGTCTCGACCAGTCTCAACTCAGCCTTGACCAGTCTCGACTCAGATAACGCATATGTATGTATCACTTTTTCGTATCACACTCCATGCAGTGTGATACGAGAAATATCTATTCATGCAAGAAATAGATAACAGGCCACAACCATAAGAGAACTTATCATATTATGCACTTGAGTATAACTTGGAAGCTTACGCAAAACCTAATTACATGATCTGATCATTATTATTTACAATATATTAAAATACATTGTGATTAAGCATGCTAAATGTCTAAGCAAAGACTTTGAAGTGGTGTAGCGAAGCTGCAATAACATCCTTCAGTTATTACAGGAATATTTTTTCTGTAATAACATAGGTGTACTATGCATGATTGACAAACTATGAACTGTTATATCTTTCTAAAGTTGAGTATACATAAAAACAATAATAATATCAATAGAACTTGTTTACAATTTAACAACACAAAGGATGTATATTGCCCCTTTGAAACATGTAACATATATATGTTATCACAGTATTTTGATTTTTTAGTCCAAAATGACAAATGTATGCTATTTTTCTAGGAGCTAAGTACTTATTTAAGTTACACCCTTAACTGATTATTTTGCAATTTACATGCCTATATAGCTTTGTCCACTACCCTATACTCTCCTGATATAATTGTGTTTCTGTCCCAATACTTACATCAGTCATGCAGTATCAATCGTGCTACATAGGAGTGATTTAATAATCAGAATAAGGCGTTTAATCTGATGTCTCATGTAGAGACTGAGAGAGGCAATGTCTCTGTATATTCATGGGTGCGGAAATATCAAATTTTCAACTTGTCCAAGGACAGGTACTATATAGATAGATACAAAGCACTACTTTCCCCAAAAATTGAGGGACTTGTCTGAGCTACTTATTGGCACGCATTTGTTTTGGCATATAATTACCAATAGTTGCTTATTGTATGTCCATGTCATCTGCAGATGCGGATCCAGGATTTTGAAAAAGAGGGGGGGGGGCAAAAACTAGACAACGCTTAGAGTGGAATAGGTAAAAAGTGAGCATTAAGCATAAATGTAGCTCCAAAAGGGGCGTCAAACATTTCTCGGGTCCTCAAAATTTTACAGGATAGGCAATGATGTCCAGTAATGCCGGACAAATAACGATAAGGGTATATAGACTTGTGCAATTAGACATATTTACACTTGTATGCAAAATTGATTGCAATAACTGACAAATGACTTTGTTACATGCTTAGCTTTAAATCAAAAAAGTTTCCACAAAAATCAAAATTGTGCATCACAATTTAAAACATTTGATGTCATATGATAATTAAAATGTGATTTTTGCATGATGACAAAAGGTTATTCCGAGACAGATCTATAGTCATCCTAGCAAATTCAGCTCAATACCCGAAACTGTAAATACAAATATATGTTTATTTATGTTTTAATGCACGTCGTTTAACCAAACATAAAGTATTTATGTGCTAAAATGCTCCATCTATTTTGAACATATGTGTACATAATTGAGCACATGCAATTATGTACACTTCAACATTAGCCTTTACTTTCTAAATACAATAGAACAAACACAAGTTTGGATACTGAATGGCGCAGTGACCACCTTAAATTTTATTTTCCTAATACAATATGTATCTGATCTGGTTAAGTCCATCAAACTAAAATAATAAAGTCCATCAAAAACACAAGATACACTGCCTGACAGAATCTTGGACAATATCATGTTCTGCAACAAAATAATCTACAAAATAAATACAACACATTTAAATACTGTTCTATATAAAACTTAAATACAAATATTTTGTATACAAAAAAAAACAAACTTCTACCTATATATATGACGTGCGATTGTGTGGTCACTACCCAGTCCTCGATAACTAAAAAACCCGTGCAATTACCTTTTATACTGACCGCCAAACCGGTTAACGGCAATAGTTATACAACTTATACAAAATCCCCATTATAAAATTAATGCGCAATCTTTCAAATTCATTCCGCATACCGCACATAAATTCATTTATGTTTTAATGCACGTTGTTTAACCAAACATAAAGTATTTATGTGCTAAAATGCTCCATCTATTTTGAACATATGTGTACATAATTGAGCACATGCAATTATGTACACTTCAACATTAGCCTTTACTTTCTAAATACAATAGAACAAACACAAGTTTGGATACTGAATGGCGCAGTGACCACCTCGACGCACAAAGAAAGTAGACAGAAATATACATGTAACTAAATTCCAAGATTCTTAGAAACTGATAAACGCTTTTGTAAATTTTCTAACACATATCCGTCTTTGGCTCTATCTGATTTCCAGCGAACATGAATTTTAAATAATCTATCAGATATGCCATACTGAGCGGCGGCTGTTGCCCCTCCAGCTCTAAAGCTATGTAAACCAAAATCAGATATACTACAGCCAAAATCAGCTAATGCCATAGATACGATTTCTCTAGTTCTAGTGTACGACAAACATACATTTTTCTTTCTTAATGAAAATACATTGCGACTCTTAAAAAACGAGATCGATCTAAAAATATACATATCGGACTTCATATCTATATTCGCTACATTTAAATAATTTGAAAGTAAAGCAACAGGACATTGTGGACTTTCTAGCTTTGATATGAAAACATGGTTGCCTTTTCTATAGCAATCTGTTTTGCTCCTTTCGACAAAAATATCTATATAACCGTCACAAAAACTTATATGGTTGGCTTTAATGTTACATAATTCATTAAAACGTAAAAAAAACCAGTATAAGCTAAAGAACAGATAGTAAGTAAACGTAAATCTTTGAGTGTGCTATTGGAAGTATTATATCTAGCAAACAATTTAATCATAATATCAGGTGTCACAGGTTCCTTTTTCTTGATAGGTCTAGAAAGTGTTCTTCTTGCTGACTCAACTATTGAAGAAATTAAATCAGAGTCGCAAGGATTTTTTACGCCAGCTAAATTGTGTGCCCATCTGATACTATAAAATGCAGACTCAATTATACTAAAATGATTTGCAGATTCTATTAAATTTTGCAGATAAAGACCAACATATATTTCTTTGCATGGTAAAATACAAGTTATTTCACGATACTTTTCTGTCCATTTGGCAAATCTTTTAAAACCACCACTATATTTGTCTACTGTAGATTTAGCTCTAGCATCGGTTACAGTTGTTGGCAAATTATGTAAAAGCAGACGAAGCTCAGGATGTGCCACTTTTTCATTTTCAGACCAGAATCCAGTAGAAAATATTTTCTGTAATCAAATAAACACGCCAATAAAAAATCTATAGTATAATCAATACGTACCGTTATGATTTCTATATGGTCCTGTGACCAACACTACACAATGCAAATACGTAAAACATCTTATAAGATGTACGTCCAGTGACACTTAAACATATGGTCTAGTGACCTCTAAACACATTCACGGTCCAGCAACCTTTAAGGCAGTCCAGCGTAATCATTATATAAAAAACACCCAGTGGTGTAACATCTTTATCCACAATCTGTAAATAATAAAAAACATGTTAATTCATCTGAGAAGCATCCAAACGAACAGCTAATAATAGCCCATTAAATGTCCCATTAGCGAACATAGAATTCTTATTATTGCCTGCAACTAAGATTCTGTCAATCTCATGAAATTCTAAAACATCTCTGACAAACCAAGCATATTCTAAATTTTCCTTGAATAAAAGAGGCCAAAACGCAGACGATGGCCATTTCGGAACGATTAATGTTCCTACTGCCTTGCAGTTAACTAAATGATTGATGCATTTGCTAACAAGATTAACAGGGGGGACTAACCAATTATTATCCCCATTCCAATTACAAGTAAAAGCATCAATTGCACTCGTACATGGATTCCAAAATGAAGAATTAAATCTCCCGAGTTTCGCATTGTTCATATTAGCGAACCTATCAACTGTATGTAATCCCCATAATCTATCTATGAAGTTGAAAAATTCAAACGAAATACCCCAATCGTCAATATCGACGATCCTACTCAAAGCATCTGCTTTTTCGTTATCTTCCCTCGGGATCCATTGTGGATATAACGAAATATTAAAAGAAACACAAATACTAAATATTGACAAAGCCAACGTTTGCAATTCTGGCACTTTGCTACCTTTCTGAATAATACCAACAGTATTTTGGTTATCTGTGAAAAACGAAACTAAACTATTCGATAGTAAATGCTTAAAGCTATCTATAGACAGTTCAACAGCTTTCAATTCTCTCCAAGTGGAACTTTTTATAGCTTCATGCTGCAACCACTGCTTATGCATGATATAATCAGAATTAGCTACAAAACCAGCAGCTGCACCATCACTGGCGTCAGTGAATACTTTAAAATCTGAATTTTCTCGCAAGATTGCCACAGGCTTTAAACTTACAATATTTTGTCTCCAAAATAAAATCTCTCGTATAGAACCTGAATAAAAACTCAAATCTACAAATTGATCCCACTCATCTCTACTGTTAATCACTGAAAAAGTGCACCTAGTCATTATCTGAGTGACATTTCCAATAACTGGGGTAAAAGAAATAATTTTACCACAAAATTTCGCAAGCAACCTTATTTTCACTTTGTGAGGCTGTTCTAATATGACTCCTGCTAAATCTACCAGATTTGCCACTTTCTCTGGAAGCAATTGAAATAAACAATGTTTCAAATCCCATATAAATCCAAGCCAGACTAAATTCTGTACAGGCCTCCAAATACACTTATCTTTATTGGGTACAAATCCCGACAAAATCAAGTCCTGTTTCACCCGTATAGCTTGTTGTGCACATACCTGTTCTTCTTCTGCTAATGCCAAGCCATCATTTAAATAAACAGTTATCTTAATCCCATCCTTACGCCAATGTTTTACCAAAGGACGAACTACCTTTGTAAAAATATACCCTGCTGATGAAAGCCCAAAAGGCAAAACAGTAAAAACGTAATATTTTACAGAATTACCCAACTTCCATGAAAATCCCAAATATTTTTGATGATTAGGAAAGATATTTATGTGATGATAACCAGATTTAAGATCAAAAACAAACCCAAAACAATTCGAAGTTAAAAACTGACTAGCTGTTTTCCAGCCCTCGAATTTAACCTTACAATAACGTACCTGTTTGTTTACATGTCGTAAATCTAAAATCAAACGACCTTTACCTGACTGACTTACAGATACCGTTAAAGGATTTACAACAAAAGGTGCGTTCGACTCCTCTCTGATCAAATTAGCATCTAACAAATCCTGTATAGCCTTCCCTACAAAATCTGAATTATCAAATGCAGATTTATTATTTTTCAAAAATACACTTTCAGGTTCTTTGATAAAAGGAATTTTATAACCAGAATTAATTATATCTAGAATAAAATCTGAAGTATTGATGCTTTTCCAAAAAGAAATAGAATGCTTCAGTCTATTATGTACATTAATCAAATATGAACCGGATTCATATTCAAAATAAGTTTGAAAATTGTCTAAGCTTTGTACCTGTAAAATGTCCGAATTTCTTTTATGCAGAAGATCCTCTGGGAGCTGTGAAGTTACTGTTCCCTCCGTTCTTGTATTCTTTGGCCCAATGCCCATACAACCCACACTTGTAGCAGATGTCTCTGGCTTTTGATCTGATGAATCTTGGATTAGGGCCCGATGCCCCGCCAACACGAAAGGGCGGCTGTGAAACAGCTGCAACACCATCAGCTCCACGAGCGACCGAAGACGGGCCACCTGCAGCTTCAGCGGGTCTTTTCTTTACACTCCTGTTACCTGTACTACCCTTTGTTACTTTCATCTTCTTCACGGCTCTGGTCTCTGCAGCTCGTATCTTCTTCTCGTCTTCTGAATTGCTAGCTACCTCGTCAGAAAGATATTCGTCAACGGTTTTCCATCCTGCCTCTGACTTGTCCGCTATACGAATCAATTTGTTTCTCTTCTTTAACACCTTTTCCGACTCCTCCAATAAAGAAACGGCCTTGGAATATCTCTTATGATGCAAGTTGTCTAAAGCGCCACTAACATTGTCTAAAATGTCTGAATTTAGATCAAACTGCACCTGATTTCCTCTGTATCGTAGATTATTCTCGGTCTTCTTGACTTTACGGGCTAAATTCTGTGTAGTGTCAGCGAAATTTCTTTCAATCCCCGACAACTTCTTACCAAAGTAGTTTTGCATCAGAGAAAGCAAATCAGTATTGGAAATCTCCTCGTCAGGAACCTCAGCATGTGAAGGAACTTCAGGTTGAATATCATTCAATAAGTTGTCTGGCTCAATATCGGACATGATGGGAAAAAAAAAACAAACTTCTACCTATATATATGACGAACGATTGTGTGGTCACTACCCAGTCCTCGATAACTAAAAAACCCGTGCAATTACCTTTTATACTGACCGCCAAACCGGTTAACGGCAATAGTTATACAACTTATACAAAATCCCCATTATAAAATTAATGCGCAATCTTTCAAATTCATTCCGCATACCGCACATAAATTCATTGATATAAACCTCGGAGTTTCTCCAGCAGAACTTCGTAGAAGTTGTTGCAAGTCTGATAATTTATCATAAACAGCTTTGAAGTCAAGATCAATATCATCAAATGTCATGTCGAAATCGAGTTTCTTCTCAATATACGTAGAAGTATTTTCCATTTCCTCCGACAAGGGAGGAACATTAACTAAATATAACAAATCATTAGGACTGTTTATTATGGTTCGGTCCCAACTAAGGTTAATTTAAGTTTACAAAGAGTATTTCAGTCCATTCACTTGTATCGTGAGGTATACATGTCTGGCTTGAACCAGAAGATTCTCTCGTCCATTCATCTTCTTGATCATCTGAATTTTCTCTTCGTTGTCTTTTACATATGGAAGCTGACATTTTCTTTCAGTGACGAATTAGTGATATTCGTACCCACACGCATTTCGTCCCTTCGGTATTCGGTTTATTTTTTTCACTTGTTCCACTCCAGCGTTGGTGCACATGTGAAGTATTATTTAAACCCTTTTATCAAAAAGCTTATAAAGGGAATTACAAACGACTAAAAAAGCTACAGTATTTAATGTCTCATTTTGTTTCCTGTCCTGAAAACACATGAACCAATTGCCAATGGATGTTTTATACACATATAAATTTGTGAATCAATCAATTAAAATTCAAAAAAGTTGATATGTAGATTTAGAATAATTAGGTGTTAGTATGTTAGACTGTCCAAAGTGTCTGTGAAATGACTGAGGATGTGGATGGGGGTTTACAGAATAAAGAAAAATTGGGAAACATATAAAGAATAGAGAAAAATTGGCCAACAAAATAAAGAAAAGAGAATAACGAGATGATTAAATATATAGAATAGAGAAAATTGGTCTAAAATCAAAGAATACAGAAAAGAAGTACCCCCATCCAGACCCTTAATAAGTCTGCCTATCAGTCAGTTACCAAAGGTGCCACTTCTAACAGATCATGATTACTGAAAGCAACTTAATTTAATTACTGTTTATCCTAGATTTTTTGTTTGTTACTCTCATATATTTTTGTTAGTACAGTAATCTAAACATGTGTAAAAAAATCTTTAAAAACTTACATGTATCTGCAATAGCTGCTCAAAGGTGGCAGGGTGGATGTAATTGGTTTTTTTATCGGTGGGTTGAGGTTGCTATTCGTTCAGAGTCGGGAAATGTAACAACATGCACTCGTTGTACAACAGGAAAATTTGCATCAACGTTTTCTTAGCTTTTATGATTTTTAGGGAAAGATGAGTTATGCTTCAGTATCATGTTACCTCAATCAATTGCATCCAGGGATTAAGGTCCAGACACAGTATTGGTCTTGTTTAACTTGAAGTTAGAAAGTGTGTATAATTATTATGATTTAACGTTTCCATTAGCCATTGTTATCCGTATCAAACAGATAATACGAAACGACTCTTTTGTAACAGATAACATAATATTCCGTCTTATCTAAAATATGTATATGCAACGTTTCAAACAAACATAAAATTGACGAAATCTGTATGTTATCAGAGAAAGATAGTGATACATAATACTTGAAACCGTCTTATATGAGGGTCTAGATAGGGTTTACAGAACTGAGAATAATTGGCAAAAAGTGCAGTATAAGGGACTAAAAATAAAAAGAATAGAGAACAATAGCCAGACTAAATACATCATAAAGAAAAATGGTCTAAAGATTTACAAAATAAATAAATAAAGACCCCCTCCCATATAGGCAATACGTAAATACCACTGAATATTGAGAGCACAACAAACTATCAATCAATTTTAATTTTAACTGATTTATTATTATAAAATACCATAACATAATATAATACTTAATTAAGATATATAAACAGTGGAAAATCTAGTGGCGGAAATATACATCCCATTGAAACATTGAGATCCAGAAACCATTCAATGTTTTGAGCGTTTTCCGCGAGGAAGCTATAGTGATTAAAAGTTCACAGGGAAGCGTACTGGTAAATATTGATATTAAAAAAATAACAAAAAAAGACTTATCAAATACTGTGATCATATTTCTCTTTCATATAAGAGATCACTGAACAACGTCTAAGCTAAGTAATACGCCCGCTGGGGACTGAATTGTAATTGGAAGAACAAGATGAGGACAGTAGGTTTTAGGACTGTTGTTTTTAATTGGTTTCTTATGCTGCTGCTGTTGGTTGTTTACGTTCATGGATCACACCAATTTGCCGTTTATATAAAAAGCTATACACAAGCTTACAACATAAGAAGTCCTTTTTGTTCTGTTTTGTTATGCATTAAATTTGTTCACATAACATTAACAATACCATTTTTACCGCACCAGATGCGCATTTCGACAACAAATATCTCTTTATTGATGTTCGAGGCCAAAATATTTCAATACAAACATACCTTATTCATCGCTGACGAGTTGATCAAACCAACACAGACCTAAAGTATAGTGAAATCTGGACAAGGAATCATTATATTAATTAGATATAAGAAGATGTGGTATGAGGGCCAATGAGACAACTCTCCATCCAAGTCAAAATTTATAAAAGTAAATCATTATAGGTCACAGTACGGTCTTCAACACGGAGCCTTGGCTCACACCGAACAGTAAGCTATTAAGGGCCCCAAAAAATTGCTAGTGTAAAACTATTCAAACGGGAAAACCAACGGTCTAATCTATATAAAAAACGAGAAACGAGAAACACTTATGAACCACATCAACAAACTACAACTACTGAACATCAGATTCCTGACTTAGGACAGGTGCAAACAAATGCAGCGGGTTTAAACGTTTTAATGGTACCAAACCTTCACCCTTTTTCTGAAACAATAGTGCAACATCACATAACAGAAAGACACACTATGAAATATCCACTGAAATAGCTTAACTCAATCAAAGGACATATTAACACCATTGAACATACACTGAACAAATAAATTTGAACTATGACACAATGTAAATACAAAATAAATAAACTAAGGGAAGAATAATAAAAGTAACATGTTATATCGGTAAGAAATGTTAAACAATTAAAGAAAAACAATATGAATACATTAATAAATAAAATTGTTTTTTCCGTTATTGATTTAAATCGCAAGACAGCTTATGTTCTACCCACTCAGATAGCCACCATACCAGTCTACGCCTTAATTTGAGCAGTAACAATACTTATGGGATGGATCGAAATATGCTTTTCTTGTTGATATATGTAATAAAAAAACAACATCTAAGTCGAAATTCAAATCTTTCAGAATGACAACTTCAATGAAAAGTGAAAAAAAGCAATGAATAAATACAGGCAACTCTAATCTAGTAAGGGATGGAATCTTTTGATGGATCTGCTTACCCCTCCAGAGCACCTGAGATCACTCTTAGTTTTAGTAGGGTTCGTGTTGCCCAGTTTTTGGTTTTCTATGTTGTGTTTTGTGTGCTGTTGTTGGTTTGTTTGTCATGGCGTTTTCAGTTTAGTTTCGACTTATGAGTTTGAAAGTATCTATGGTATGCTTCGCCTCTCTGATAAACTTCTGAAACACCCTAACTTAAGAAAAAAATCAAATAAATAGTTCAATATCACCAGAATAACTACTGGCATGGAGTCTGCTTAGAAGACTAGTCAAACATATTTAAAAAGAAGACACTGAAATAGATTCAAAAATACAGGAAAACCCTTCGTATGTGCCTGATATTATATGGCATTGTATAGGGAACAACTCAACTTGAAAACAGTAGAAATAATTAAAAGCAGACTAGTAACGCAAAAATATATGCTATATGCTTTAAACATAGGTCAAGACACAGAATGAATTTATTCCTAGTACTAGTATGTACATTGTGTAAAGCAGTAGTTTGAAGATTTATAGAAACAGAAATATTACTAAGCAATTTAAAAATGGGCTCTTACTGTGAAAAGCTTAAAAAAAATGTGATGAACTGAACACACAATGCAGAAATTATAGAATCCATATGAAATAACAACACTTCAAAGTTCTTTCAATTGTTAACTAACACCAAATATATAATAATTATTAAAGATTGAAGTAATAGACATATGTGTGGGTATTTTTTTTTTTTTT